GTCCCATTACTTGATACAATTTTTGGTGTTAACTCAGCATAAAGTACTATCTTATTTAAAAATTTCTTTATTTCTGAATAATTATTTAGTACTTTATTTATGGTTTTAATTATTAAGCATGTTCAATTTTTCTAATATTATCATAATAATATATTGGTGTTTTTATTTTATTTTTTTGTAATATTTTTTACTTTTTTAGTCATTTTTTATTTAACTGCTACCGCATCCGCTGGTTTACCAGTCATAAAACTTCCGCAAACGCATCTATTTTCAAACGCTAAACCAGTCGTTCAAAACGCTTGGTAACGCTTGAAACCGCAACCGCCCGCTTCCGCAAACTCCCGCAACCGCAACCGCAACCGCTGCGTTTAAACCAGTCAGGCCCTAAATCTCCGTTTAAGCCATGGTGAATAGTAAAATATAAAAACCTTTTATGGAATATTTAGTAAATTAACAAAAACATAAATTCGGTTGGGTCGCTTGCGATATGGTAGTAGTTGGATCTCGGGCAAAGTGTAAACTCGGTATTCTTTAGGTTCGACTTCCACTAGTTATATTGTCGTCAGCTCATCTATAAAGAGAAGGCTTGACCGTCTGTGTTGGTTGCGGCTGGTTGTATTGCTTGGTCTTTGCAAAACAAATTAAACCATATGTCCATCCAGATCGATGTCGGAGCTCATTTCAAAACCTGCTGGACCAACTTTTCTTTATCATGCTGGCTTATTCCTTCGATTAGTGGGATGACTTGAATCAGTTATGGCTGGATTAGGTTTTAGTTCGGATTTCTAGTCTGACCAAATCAGCCAAAGTTAAAAGACAGGAAATTTTAAATTCAAGATGAACTAATAACCTTAAACGATATACAGTATGTAATGCATTGATTTATATTACAAAAGTCTTTGTATGATTAAGTGGTTGCCGCGTCCACTTCCAATCTTGAAGTATGAAACAAAAAACTATGAAAGCAAGTAGAGAAAACGGAAAATGAAAAAAGCTGTGATGTTTTATTGAAAGAGCTTGTGACGTTTCATGAACTAACTTAAGTTGATCTATCACTTATCATAGAGCTAGTGATATAATTAATATAATATGTAAATATATATATATATTTACTGCTCTATATCACCATTCAACCACATCATATTACGTTTATTTTTTATTTTTTAAAATATAATCGCTAGAAACTCATATATATATATATACTAGGATTTAACCCGCGGTACACCGCGGGGTCATATTTTATTTCTTTAATTAACAATGTTGAATTTTTTTTAAAAAAATAGTATTCAAATTAGATGATATAAATTTTTGATGTTTTTAAATTTGACCCGTAGAACATATATAATTCAGTAACATAGTATTGTAATTACACATTTAGAAGTGTCAAAAGAGATTAAAAGATTCAATATCCGTTGTTGCACTTCTTTCTCTGTTTGTATAACCCGTCAAAATAAAAATTAGAATTTAATATTGTCATTTTCTCTTTACAAATTTATTTTATGATGTATTAGTATTACGATTCTCAATTTTTTTTATATGCAAACAACATCAAATGCATGGAGAAGAAGGTATGATACATTTCTGCTTTATATTTAAATATTCAATATATTGATAAAATCTGAAATCAAATTAAAAAAAAAAAACTAAAAATTGAAACTCTAACTTCAATCCGACGACTACTTCTATCTCCTCGATCATCTCTAAGCCTAGAAAAAAAAAAATCCAAATCAGTACCTTCCATACAATCGAGAAAGGAGTCTCTAAACTGAAAAGATGATTTCAATTCAAGAACAATCACCTATTATGGTCACGATCACGGCATTGGCCAAAGTCATCATCATCTCTTCTACCACGTTCTCTTCTTTCACTATGCTCGGTTCTATGATCCATGACGACTGTTTATATGATGACGCTCACAATCTCTGTATGTTCTTTCCATCTATATCGCTTCTTCTAAGAGAGACTTTAGAGTCATTTTTCTGTCCTTATCACAGCCATTCTCTCTTTCTTTATCATTACTTTTTGAAGTCTCTCTTCCATGGTCACGTGTTTCTCTCTATACAATTAAAAACATAACTCATAAATTAGTTTTAAGAATCAATGAAACTAAATGAAAACCATACACAAAATCAATGAAACTAAAATAGATTACAGCTAGTAGATAAACTAATGATATAAGAATAACAAAATTGTACTATATTTATAGTGTTAAGAGAGTTGTTTGTAATTTTCGGGTTGATAGAATATAATTTCTCTAATAAATAATGAAATCAAATCTAAACGATAATTTTTTTTTTGTTAAGAACGCATTTGGATAGTAATTATTATATGTGCATGTATACTATTAAATAGGTATTAAAACCGAAATGTAAGATAATATTTAGATTTTTTTATAGAAATTTCTTAAACTAATTAGATTCCAAGATTTGTTACGTGAGAGTAATTAGGGGATCACATTAAATAATCGAAATTTTGAAAAGAAAGTTTCGAGATTATTGCAAAAGATTAGAGCAAATATTTTTAGAGAAATTGTTAAAAATGCCCCTTTTTCAATACCCCTTTTCAAAAATGCCCCCTTTGAGAGTCCATTTTTAAGTTTGCCCTCTTTTAATTTTTAATGACCATTTTACCCTTATTTGAAACAAAATTAGGTCCACAAAATACAAAATATTTTTTGGCGGGAAAAGTGATCCCGCAATTTTCTCGCCAAAACACTTGTAAAAATCTTTATAATAACTTGTAAAATTTTTCCGTAAAAATTTTTCCCGCCAAAAAAGTTTTTTTGCGGGAAAAGTGATTCTGCAATTTTTTTGGCGGGAAAATTTTTAGCGGGAAAAATTTACAAGGTATTTTAAAGGGTTTACGGAGTATTTACAAGTGTTTTGTAAGGTTTACAATGTATTTTAAAAGGTTTTACAAGGTACTTATTAAGGTATAAACGGTATGTACAACTTGTAAAACCTTATATAAAACTTGTAAAATCTTATAAAATAGCTTGTAAAATCTTATAATATCTTATAAATAACTTATAAATACGTTGTAAAATCTTTTAAAATACATTGTAAAACCTTATAAATACCCTGTAAAAAACCTTTAAAATACCTTGTAAATTTTTCCCGACAAATATTTAACGCCAAAAAAATTGCGGAATCACTTTTCCCGCAAAAAAAAATTTCTGGCGGGAAAAAATTTTACGGGAAAATTTTCCAAGGTATTTTAAAGGTTTTACAAGTGTTTTGGCAGGAAAAATTGTGGGATCACTTTTCCCGCCAAAAAATATTTTGTATTTTGTGGATCTAATTTTGTTATATTTCCTTATATATTTGTGATATCTTTTATTAAAAAAGGGTAATTTAGTCATTTGTACATAAAAAGGGGTATTTTTAAAAATAGACAGCCAAAGGGGCATTTTTGAAAAGGGGTATTGAAAAAGGGACATTTTTGTGAGTCTCCCATATTTTTAATCTGGCGAATATATTTAATGTTTTACTTGGAGATGAGTAAATAATTTATTGATTTTAATTCTCTTGTTGTAGATATGGTTAGTAGGATTATCGTAAATGTTAAGTTGGTAGTAATTAAATGAGATTTGAGATCTCGGATGAGATATTTTTCAAAATATAGTCGAGTTAATATTGAGAGATTTGGGGAATAATTGGTTAGTAACTAGTAATTGTTTAAAATATGGATCTTTAATTCAAAACGTGTAATCAATAATAACCATTTAATGTCTTTTTTTTTGTGCAAAATTAAAGGAAGATCCGTTTAAAACGATTTCGGGTCAAAAAATAAACAAAAACCCGACCCACCAGTGGCATTTCATTGTAAATACTTCTCAACTTCAGGATTTATTTGTTAAATGTACTCCAAAAATGTATATATAGATATGGTTTGATTCCTACCAAAAAAAATATATATATATATGGTTTGATTGGTGACAAAATATAAGAGTTTCTAACGATTATATTTTTAAAAATAAAAAATAAGCGTATTATGATGTGGTTGAATGGTGATATAGAGCAATAAATTTTTTTTAATAAAATGAAGTAAGTAGTAAACGATATAATAGTGATACAGATTTTAGAATTAGATAAGGTTTATTTTTGTCAATATTTGATAATACAGTAAAACCTGTATAAATTAATAATGTTGGGACCATGAAATTTTATTAATTTAGAGAGGTATTAATTTATCGATAAATTAATAATTATTAATTTATAGAGAGATTTTAATAATTTTATAATTTCTTAAAAATTTCTATTTAAAAATAATTTTTTTTTATAAGCAATATCTTTTTAAAACCAATTGCAAGTAGAGAAGCAATTATTAAGTTTAAAAAACAACACAAACTTTTTTTGAATAATATAGTCATATTTTATTAATTTTTTGCATATATATTAAATATATATCATAGTAATTCATATATGACATATATATATATATATATTTATATCATATATATATTAAGTTAAACATACATATATATATTGATAAGTTTATACAATTATTAATTTATAATATAGGTGAGACCATAGGTTTACATGAGATTTTTTAAAAAAATATTATCTTATTAATTTATCGATTTATGTCATATTTTACACTGGTCTCAGTTCGGGACTGGAAAAATTTATTAATTTAGAGAGGTTATTAATTTATAGAGTATTAATTTATAGAGGTTTTACTGTATATATATAGGGAATATATAACTTTGGGCATTTTATCCAAAATTATGTAGGGACCTT